GCCCTTCCGCCTCAGCCTTCCAGGTGGCTGGAGCTACAGGCGCGTGCCACCACGCCCGGTTTATTTTTTGATTTACTGCAGAGGCGAGGTCTCGCCAAGTTGCCCGGGCTGGTCTCGAACCCCTGAGCTCAGGCAATCCTCTCGCCTCGGCCTCCCAAGGTGCTGGGATGACAGGTCTAAGCCACCACACCCAGCTGACAGACATTTTATAACCGTGAATGAATGTCTGCTGAGACAGAAAAGGGTGCTTGACTCTCAGGACCAAGTTCCTGAGATGGGCCAGGCCCACCCCAGACCCAGCCTGTTCCGAGGGCTGGATGTCCACTTGGGTCACGGGGACTGGAGGCCACCGAGGGGACATCTTCATCCACTGAGGTGGAGAAGCAGCATTCAAGCAGAGCAAAGAAGCGGTGGCAGGCCTCCCCGGAGCGAAGCCAAGGCTGCCTGGAAGGCCGGAGGCCAGGCTGCCTCCGCCAGGGAGGGAGCCCCTTCCAGGCCCCAACGCCGGGCTCCCACACGTACTGCCCCTCAAGCCTGGACCCACATCCACGCGGCTCTTCCACACGACGCAGCAAGGACCTGTGTGTATGCAGGGCCACCCACCCGGGAGGTGTCAAGAAGATGCTTGCTTTTTGCTTCTTAGGCAGAAAAGCAACACGTCCACCCTTCCTGGCACACGACACAATCCCTGGGGAGGATGGAGAACTGACTCCAGGGGCGAAATGCACAGATGGCAGCCCCGACCCCAGGCCCTGGGGGAGGGGTGGCACAGTGCGGCAGGGAAGGGACATCTGTCCCGCAGCTGCTCACTGGTCTCGGAAAATGTCTACCCCCTCACAAAGGCCACCCTGCACAGTCACTGAGCTGCCGTACTTACTCACGTTAGTCCGTTTTTCCTTATTCGTCTGTCTGTAATAAAGGAGCTGAAGGCAGAAGCCAGCTCTTTCACGTTTTAAGACAGGACCAGCAGAAATCCCCGTGAGGAAAACAGGGGCACCAAGGCTTCTTCCCTTGCAGCGCAGTAGACGCTGATGGGCTCCAAGTACCGGGGAGAGGTGCCCAAGGCCGCTAGGCCCGGGCAGCAAAGTCAGGACTCAGTGGATTGCTACTGCGCCCTCTGGGCCCTGGGTCTTTCAGGAGCCCCGCCCCCTTACCCGTCTTCGGGCCGCTGTTCCAATCTCCCGTTGTCACACTGGTCACACACAGGCCAGGAGAAAGCAGTGTCCTCGTCCACACCGACCACAGTGCCTAGGCCAAGGGAGCAAAAGCCAGAGTCTTAGAGGCGCCTCTGCCCTTCCTGAACCCTCTGCCCCTCCGCACACAGGTGATATTTACCTAAGTGTTTCCGTAAATGTTCCTGAGCATTTTGTAATTTCCATTTACTGTATAAACTAAAATTACAACAATAAAATGTAAGTTTTAAGACCTGTGTTCATACCATCACCTTACAAAGTCTCATTTCTGCTTGACTTTCCCCATCTCCATCTGGAGCGTGCACATCCAAGTCGTGCAGAGACGCTGCTCTCCAAGTGTGTGAGCAGCTGAGGGGGGCTGCCCTGCTGACATCCCGAGGTGTGTGTCACAGTCCCCTCAAGCACATCCCACATCGCACTGTTAGGGATCCACATCGTGCCAGCGGTGCGGCAGTGAGCAGCTCTGCACATCGGCCTTTTCTGTACAGGCCTATGTGCAGACAGACTCCTAAGTAGAATTACTGTGTCACAGAGTGTGAGTGTTAGAAATACTTTTAAAAGTTGTTTCCCAGAAGGACTTTCTGATTTGCCCTGCCATAATGCAGAGTGCCCATTTCAAATTTGCCTCCTTTATAAGCATAAAGGAGCTGCTTATTTTAGTTTCCATTTATTTCACGAGGAAATAAAAAATTCTTGTTGGCTTAATATCTCCTGTTACATGATTTCGCTAGTTTCCATATTGTTATTGTCATTAAAGATACAGACATTTCTTTTTTACTCGAAAACTTGTGATCTATTTATTCAACCAACAAATGCCTGCGATACTTATGAGCGGCACCAGACCCACAGGACGAATGTGACAGTCTCTGCTCTCATAGACTGACTCTACAGTCGGGCTGGGGAACCAGGTAAGCAGATCACAAGTAAAAATACCATGCAACGAATGTGACATTGAAAAATGGAAACACCCCGCCCCGAGAAGCACAGCAGAGTTGCCCTCGGGGCCACCTTTCGTGCCAGGGAAGGCTTCGGCTTTCTGGAGGAGGCAGCGTGGTGGGTCTGCAGGCAACCCTGCACTCCAGGGCCGCGGCCGGTGGGTGCGGGCAGGGCGGGCAGCACGCCGTGAGGCCGGCAGACGGGCTTGCCAGGGACCTGCCAGGGACGGATGGGCCCTGACTTTCTTGTCGGTGACGTCCTCTGGACACACTGGGAAACCACAGGCCATCCCTGTTGAACGCTAGTGAGATTCGACATCTGAAGAAAAAGTAAGATGTGGAGTTTCCAGAAAAACAGAAGAATCTCTCCTACTCTTGGAACAGCAAATACCATTCTCCACTAGAATAAGCATTCGAAAATTTATGTAGAGAAAACAAGTTTGAGAACTAGCAGGCTTTGTTTGTTAATGTGCACTCATGCAGTTGCATGCTTGAATGGCTTTTTAAAAAATGAAAATAATAGTTCCTGATTTTGAGAAAGCTGCCCTAGCGATGACATTGTCCTTGCAAATCTAGCCAAAAGTGGGCCACAGGGATGAAAGTCAATAAAGGCTCAGAATGCAGCCAGAAAGGAGGGTCGACTGATTTGCCACAGGCAGATGCATCAGGAGGCGCAAGGGGAGAAAGGAAGGTCTGGTCCCCAAACCCCCAACATGCTGTGGCCTGGCTGCGCCCCGGGCCTGGGACCCGCACTTCCTCAAGCTCGCCTGCTACCAGTGCTTGGGAAATAACTAACCACTGCATTAATTAATAAAAAATAGACAGCTACCAGCCAAAGCTTCCTTTTACCCTAGGACATCCATGGTTGTTAACAACATTTGCATTAATATGAGATGAAGCAATTTCCTTCAATTAGAGAATAAGGCAAGAGTTGAGGAAATGTATTTCATCTGGGGTCCACAAACCACTGGAAATCCTTTCTGGCAGCCCTACACAAAGTTCGAGGGATGGCTGAGACGTGCATGACTAACTGTTATTGTCTAGAGCATTCACTTATGTGGGCATCAGCAAGAAGAAAAGAATCTTCATCAGGGTTGAGGGTTGTGGCATCACACTCATCAGCCTGCCTGCAGTTCGCTATCACAAGTTTTGACTTGGCTTGTGTTCTGTACAGAAATCTCTTACAGTGAGGTTTGGGACAGGCATATCATGCAGTTATCAAAACCTATTTTAAGTTTCTTTCGCAGAGCTCTAAAGCAAGCCCCTCAGCCCCAGAGGCATCCCGGGCACATTCGAGCTCGCCACGGCCTGCTGTGCCAACGTCTTCTGGGACTCAAACTCTTTGCTGTGACCCTCTTCCCCTCATTTCCCGACTGAAAGAAGTCAAGGCGCCCAGTTCTCTTCTTCTGTTTAGAGGCTGACACCAGGCGTGACCACGGGATTGGCCAGACCTTCCAGGGAGGGGTGAGGCGTGGTACGTGCCTGCTCGTCCACCCCCCAGTGAGGCCAGGGCCTGGCTGCTCGCGCGCAGTGGAAAGGAAGCGGTGAGTGGCGCAGGCAGAGATCAACGCTCCAGGGTGACCTCACTCCAGGAAATAAGGCAGAAACAGGTCCCTGCAAACCACAGGGGTGCAGGAATGGGGAAGCCGAGTGAGCAGGGAGGGAGCGCTCTCCCCGCACCCCCTCTCCAAGGCATTCGGTGAGGTACTGCTCTGTGCTGGATACGTTCAGGGTCCTTTCAAGCCTGCCCAGGGAAGATGCTTGCCACCCAGCCGCCTGAGACCCAGACAGTCAGCTGACTGGGTTGCTGCGAGAGGCCAGGCCATGGCAGAGGTGGAGGCAGAAGTCAGCACGGACACTGCCGGGAAGGGCAGACCAGGGCACGGCAGGGGCTGGGGGGGACATTGCTACTATTACAGAGCCACGAGGACTGCAGCCTCGTGTGTGTCCAGCAGAGTTCGAGCTGGGCAGGCCCGTGGCTGGCGGGCGTGCAGGGCAAGAAGGCCGTGGAGGGGGCGGGTCACTGCCGAGCAGCTGCCTTGCTGCGGACGTTCCTGCATGGGAGCCTTGGGTCATCTTTGCTGTTTTGCAGCGGGCTTTTCTTCTCCTAATGCCCAGTTGCCTGTTTCTTATCAGATGATCTGGCAATGCCCAGCCTGGGTTTTGTGATAATAGTCTGTTTACAAATCGTAGGACGGCATACAGGCCAGCAGGGCAGCTTTGGAGCAGGCCTGGAAACTGACAAGCCCCACAGGAATGCTACACAAAATTGCGGGATATGGGGAAAATAACACGTCAGAAACCTGGATCTACATAAAGAAAAGAGGAGCACAAGAGAAGGAGGAAATGAAACCAAAGCAAAGTCTTCTGCATTTCTGATTCCAAATTGATCAGAAACAAAATGGTTTCTTTAAACAATAACAACAGGGATGTATTCAGAGAGTAAACCTCACGGTAAGTGAAACGAACAACAGCAATGTCATGAGGGATGGAAGGAAGGAACTGGAAACTCTTGTTATAAGGTGTCTGCACGCCTGTGAGATGGGACAGGGCTGCTTGAATGTGAACGTGACTGGCTGTAAGTGTTCACTGCAAACTCTGGGGCAGTCACTAAAAAAATGTTTAAGTATAATTTAAAGAAAGAAAAGAGAAAATGGAATCATACAAAAAGCTCCACTGAAATGAGCAAAGGTAACTAGACGCAGTGGCTCACACCTGTAAGCCCAACACTGTGGGAGTCAAAGATGAGAGGATTGCCTGAGACTAGCTTGGGCAACTTGGCGAGACATCATCTCTAAAATAAATCAAGAAAAATTAGCTGGGCATGGTGGCACAAGCCTGTAGTTCCAGCTACTTGGAAGGCTGAGGCAGAAGGATCGCCGGAGTCCAGCAGGTCAAGGCTGCGGTGGCTATGAGTGTGCTACTGACGCCCCCAGCCTAGGTAACGGAGGAAGACTCCGACTCCAACTCCAAAAAAAAAAAAAAGAGAGAGAGAGAGAGAGAGAGAGAGAGAGAGAGAGAAAGCAAGCTGGGAAAGCTATTTTTAGTTTCAGAAATAGCAGAGAAAAATCACTGGAGATAGAAGAGGGAATACCTATGTGATACCAGGTGTGGTGGCTCAAGCCTGTAATCCCAGCACTTTGGGAGGCAGATGCAAGAGGATTACCTGAGTGCAGGTTTTCAAAATCATCCTGGGCAACTTGGTGAGACCTCGTCTCTATAATAAATCAAAAAATAAGCTGCGTGTGGTGGCACATTCCTGTGGTTCCAGCTATCTGGAAGGTTGAGGCGGAAGGATCACCTGAGCCCAGCAGGTCTAGGCTGTGGTGGCTATGAGTGTGCCACTGCCCTCCAATCTGGGTGACAGAGTGAGACTCCGACTCAAGAAATAAAAGAAAACTTACGTGAGAAGAGTCTGTGTGGCCAGTGTCTCCTTTACAAAAAAAAAAAAAGAAAGACAAGGGCCTAAAATAATGGGGGGAGTGGGGAAATTCATTAAGAAAATATAACTTTTTTTTTAAAGTTGGAGTCTCACTCAGTTGCCCAAGCTGGAGTGCAGTGGCATGCTCATAGCCACCAGTCTTGACCTGCTGGGCTCAGGCGATCCGTCTGCTTCAGCCTCCGGCCTTCTGATTTTGTGTAGAAACTAGGGGTCACTAAGTTTAAAAAAAACAAAAAAGGGCAAATGATCTGAACAGACACATCACTGAAGAAGACGACGGATAATCATTTGAAAAGATGCTCACTGTCATGTGTTATTAGGAAATTGCAAATTAAAACAACAGTGAGATTCTACTACATGCCTATTAGAATGGCAAAAATCCAAAACACGGCCAACACCAATACCAAGCGCTGGTAAAGATATGAATCAAGCCAGGCTCGGTGGCTCCGCCTGTAATCCTGCGCTTTGGGAGGCTGAGGTGAGTGGATTACCTGAGCCCGCGGGTTTGAGACCCGCCTGGGCAACTTGGTGAGACCTCATCTCTACAATAAATCAAAAATGAGCCGGGCGTAGTAGCACGTGCCTGTAGTTCCAGCTGCTTGGAAGGCGGAGGCGGAAGGATCGCCGGAGCCCATCAGGGAACAGCCACTGCACTCCAGTCTGGGCGACAGAGTGAGACTCCAACTCAAAAAAAAAAAAAACCAAACCAAACAAAAGAAAAGAAAAGAAACAAAAGAAATAGAGGCCCCATAAGACCCATCAATTCTCAACCACAGTTATGCATCAGCACCAGCCCCAAAAGGAGAAAGCCCAAAGGGCCCCGACCCAATAGAACAGAATAATAGCTCGAGCTCATGAGCAGAATGGAAAACAGTGCTGGGATCACAGGGTTTTTGGGGGTTTTTTTTTGAGTTGGAGTCTCACTCTGTCGCCTAGGCTGGAGGGCAGTGGCACACTCATGGTCACTGCAGCCTCGACCTGCTGGGCTCAGGTGATCCTTCCGCCTCAGCCTTCCAGGTAGCTGGAACCACGGGCAGGTGCCAACATGCCTGGCTAACTTTTCTTGATTTATTGTAGAGATGAGGTCTCGCCAAGTTGCCCAGGCTGGTCTTGAACCCTTGGGCTCAGGCAATTCTCTCACCTCATTCTCTCAAAGTGCTGGGATTGTAGGTGTGAGTCACTGTGTCCAACTGATCACAGGGATTTTTGGTCATCAAAAATTATAAGGAGAGTTAGGAACTAGTGGTGGGGAAAACAGGTCATCTTAGATGTTACTTTTGGAAGTCTGAACTTTTATACACTATCTGGAAAGCAATATTTTTTATGATTAAAGATACACAAACTCACAGTGCAGCCACTTTGGAAAAATACTTTGGCATTCAAAAAGGCTAAGTACAGGATTGCCATTATAACCCAGCAATCCCAGTTCTGGATGACTAAAATTTGAAAACAGGTGATCAAACAAAAATATGCCCATGAACATCCATAGCAGTTCTACTTACAACAGCCAAAAAATGGAAACAACCCAAATGTCCAACAACAGTGAAAGGGTAAAGAAAGTGCGCCATATCTGCCCAATGAAATAGTGTCCTGCCATAAAAAGAATAAAATTCTGAGACATGTTATGTTGTGGTTGGACCTTGAAAACATGCTAACTGAAAGACACCAGGTAATAAAAGACCACATATTATATGATTCCTTTAGTATGAAATGTCTAGAATAGGCAAATTCATAGAAACAGAAAATAGATTAGTGGTTCCGTAAGACTAGAGTGTGAGAGGGTGAGGGGTAATGGAAAGTGACAGATAATGGACACGGGTTTCTTTTTGTTCTAAAGTCAGACTGCAGTGTTGGTTGCACAATTCTGAGACTATATTAAAAGAGTGAATTGTAAGGCTTGTGACTTAAAGGTACATGAACCCAGCCAGGCACAGGAGTTCATGCCTGTAATCTCAGCACTTTGGGAGGCCAAAGTGGGAGGAGCCCTTGAGCCCAGGAGTTTGAGACTAGCCTGGGAAGCAGAGAGAGACTGGTCACTACAAAAAATCAAGCTGTAGTCCCAGCTACGTGGGAGGCTGAGGCGGGAGGATCACCTGAGCCCCGGAGGTCAAGGCTGTAGCGAGGTGTGATCGGTCATGCCACTGCACCCAGCCTGGGTGAGAGACCCTGACTTACAAAAAAAAGAAAGTACATGAACCCTAAACCCCTGACCTCCTCCTTTACGGAAATCAGTAGAGACTGATGTCCAAGAATATCCATTACGGCCTCCTTTATAACTGTAAAAACACAGGAGCCTCCTGGACGTCCGTCAGTGGAGGAACCGTTTGCTCGCGTGAAGGGGTACTTCGCGAAGACCGAACCCTCGCATAGGTCTCTCTCCCCACCTGGACACGCATCCTGCTAGAGCGCTAAGTGAGGGAAGCCAGGGACGGTGCCACAGGCAGCAGCCACCTGCTGGGCAACACACAGGCTCCTCAAGGCCGTGGCCGCCGCTCCACACGCGCAGCAGGAAGGTGCTGGTGAGCACATGACAGGCGGCCGCCTTTCTCTTTCTCTCCTGCTCGTTCCGATACACAGGGAGCACTTTTATTACCAAGCAACTTCAGGACATTTACAAAGAGAGCATCGATGCTGTTTTCAGCTCTAGACTCATAAATTGAGCCAGCTGCTGAGATATCTCGATGTATCAGTAACATCGAAACTCTCTAGACAGAAATGGGATGGTCCCCTCAAAGCTAGCCTCGTCTGCCATGTCCCGTTTCGGCGACAGCACAACTACCCCCTCTGGGTCTGATGCAGAAGCCTGGGGTCAGTGCGCACGCCACCCAACCTGCCAGGTTCCCAAGTCCACTCCTGGATCTGCTTCTCCACTGCTGCCACCGCAGCCGCTGGCCCCTCCACTCTGCTCTACAGGGAGGAAATCAGGTCAGGCCGTCTCTGTCGACGGAGGAGCACAGTCCTGGCACCACTGGCTGGGGGCCAGCCTTGGCTTGGGCCACCCCTGCCCAACTGCTTTGCCCACCTCCTCCCGGATGCCTATGCTGACCAGTGCTCTCCTGTCAGTGCCTGTGAGTCCTGCTGTCCTCTTGCCCCACCCGGCCAGCGCAGTCCAGCACCCTTCAGACCCTGTCTTTGGGATGAAGGCCCAGGCTCAGCAGTTGAACTGCTCTGAGCTCAGCAGCCTGTGTCTGCTTGTGCACTTCTCCGACTTATGCCTTTCCGTACAGACTGAGTTCTTTTTTTTTTTTTGAGTCGGAGTCTCACTCTGTCGCCCAGGCTGGAGTGCAGTGGCCGCTCCCGGCCACCACAGCCTCGACCTGCTGGGCTCCGGCGAGCCTTCCGCCTCAGCCTTCCAAGGAGCTGGAACTACAGGTGTGCACTACCATGCCCCACTTATTTTTTTATTAATTGTAGAGATGGGGGCTCACCAAGTTGCCCAGGTGGGTCTCGAACCGCTGAGCTCAGGCAATTCTCTTGCCTCGGCCTCCCAAAGTGCTGGGATTACAGGCTTGAGCCACTGCACCCAGCCAGAGACTCTGAGTTCTATATGCAAGAGTTCCTTTTCATTTTGTTCCTTAAACAGCCAGCGTCTGGAACATAGCAGGCACTCAACAAATACCAGCTCAATGAATGAGCAGATGAACGTAAGTGTGATAGCTGAGAAATACAAGCACTGGTTCCAGTGAAATGGTTGCCCACCTTGCACGCTGCAGATGGAGTTGACAGGTGTGAGAGAGTCCAGTTCATCCAGCATCACTGGGCCAGTCAGCTCACAGGAGCACGCACCAGAGGCCACGCACAAAAGGGGTTTTTGAAGCACGAGGACAGTCCGTTCAACACACACAATCCGACCTGCCAACAGAGACACTTCAGATTACTGAGACACTGAAAGAAAGAGTGGAGGTTCCTGCCAGCGACAGCAGCCGGCTCTGCCAGCCCCCACACTGTGCAGGCAAAGGTACAGGCATACAGCACCCTGTGCACAGTTGCCCCGAAGCTCTGGGGCTGAGCTATGAAAGCACACGAATGCTAGATGAGACTCCATTCAGAAAGGGCAAATCATTATCTCAATAAAATAAAAACATCATGCAGACAGGATTTTTAGCTTGATCCCTGGAAAAAAGAACGAACTGATCTAAGCGTACACATTTACAGTGTTCTGGCTCTCAATTTGTTTTAAAAGGCTCTTCTGGGCTATGACTTCAGGTGGCCTCTGCAGCGGAACAGGATGCCATGGACAGACAGCCCTGGGGTGACTGACAGCCCCGCGGCGGGGCTGGCCCTGCCCAGTGGCCGCAACAGGGGTCAGCAGAAGCTGGAGGCCGATACATGGCCTCTCCCAACCCACAGGCCAAGTTTGTGATGGGCTTCACGAAGGTGCTGGCCATGCCCAAGCCACAAGAAGATCCCCAAAACCACAGGAGCCATTCTGTGGGTGCCGGACAGCTGCCCTGGATCAGAGTCATCAAGGAAAAGCAAGCACACCCTGGTCTTGAAGAGCATCCCTGAAGAACACGCTGTGAGGTACAGCCTCGGCAAGAGCCTCCAGGACTTCCGGACCCAGCATGCACGATGGGGCCACGTAGACCAGCAGGGTCTTGGGGAGCCTGGGGTCACTTGTGTCCTTCATTTGCAGGGTGACATCGGTCACCAGTAGCCAGATCTCTCTTGGCTCCTGAAGAAGCAGACTCTTCAGCTATAATTAGAAGACATGGTGAAGACTATTAATTATTCTTATATCCAAAATTATTTTTAAAGTAATAATCTTAGAGGACTCCTAACATGAACAATTTATTATTACAAAAGTGCTTTAAAACATACAGTAGACTTTGCACAACTTGGTCACTGACCCCATCAACATGGCTGTGCCCTTGTGCTCTAACACTGGGCCTGGTGAAAGGCCTTCTTTGTTGGGTAGAAGGACTGCCAGCCCACCCTTCCCTGGCAGTCCTCTGTCCTCTGACCTACTCAGGTAGAATTCATTTTTCTTTTCCTCTTGATCCTGTGTTTATATACTAGAATGTTAATTACCATTTGCTTTCCACCTAGCACATATACATTATTCTCTTCAGACAACTGTACGTTTCCTGAGGGTTAGTGTATTAGTCTGTTTTGTGATACTATAAAGAAAGCCTGAGCCTGGGTAGTTTATAAAGAAGAGAGGTTTATCTGGTTCACAGTCCTGCAGACTGTAAAAGAAGCATAGTGCTGGCATCTGCTTCTGGGGAGGCCTCAAGAAGCTACAGTCCTGATGGAAGGGGAAGGAGAGCCAGTGTGCCACATGGCAAGGGAGGAAGCAAGAGAGAGAAAGGGGTGTCCGGTCCTTTTACATAACCAGCTCTCGTGTGAACTAACAGAATGAGAACCCACCTTTACTTCAAGGACGGCACCAAGCTACTCACGAGGGAGATGCCTCCCACTAGGGCCCACCTCCAACACTGGAACTGCATTTCACATGAGACTTGGGGGGGACAACTAAACCATGTTAGTTAGAAATAGATTTACTAGCCCTCAGACTTTGTACAGGGCCTTAGGATAAAGCAGGTGTCACATAGTTGTTGTATCTTCAACAATTTTTTTTTTTTTTGCCGAGTTGGAGTGTCACTCCGTGGCTCAGGCGGGACTGCAGGGGCACACTCCTGGCCACCCCAACGTCGATTGCCGGGCTCCAGCGGTCCTTCTACCTCAGCCTTCCAAGTAGCCGGAACTACGGTGCCTACTAGCATGCCTGGCTAATTTTTGATTTATTGTAGAGACGAGGTCTCGTCAAGTTGCCTGGGATGCTCTCAAACCTGCGGGCTCAGACAATCCACTTGCCTCGGCCTCCCAAAGTGCTGGGATCACAGGCTGAGCCACTGAGACCGGCCAACAAATTTTTTCTTTTGTTCTTTCTTCTTTCCTTTTATTATATATTTCTTCTTATCTGCAAAAGTTGTAATGCCTTTCAATTTCCATTAAACTGGTATTCTGGGCTGGGTGTGATGGCTCAAGCCTGTAATCCCAGCACTTTGGGAGGCCGAGGCGAGTGGACTGCCTGAGCCCATGAGTTTGAGGCCAGCCTGGGCAACATGGTGAGACCTCGTCTCTACAATAAAGTAAAAAAAATTAGCTTGGCATGGTAGTACATGCCTCTAGTTCTGGCTACTTGGAAGACTGAGGCGGAAGGATTGCCGGAGCCCAGCAGGTCGACACTGGGGTGGCCGTGAGCATGCCACTGCACTCTAGCCTGGGCGACAGAGTGAGACTCCAACTCAAAAAAAATCCAAAAAACTGGTATTCTGCCCCTTCCCCTGGTCAGGGCTTAGGATTCAGGAGATGCAAATGGGGCCAAGGATGGTCAGTAGGGTCAGGTTTAGGATTCTGTATGGCTGGCCAATAGGACTAGGAAGAGAAGGTGACTTGCATGGTCTGGGGCTGGGGGTTGGGGTGGAGGAGGCAGCCTACATGGTTGGCAGGCTGATTACACACAGGACATTTGAGTAACAGAGGAAAATAAAGCCACATTTCTCCCTGTTGGAAAAGGGAGTTATACATGTGCAAGGGGGAAAGCCTAGAGTTGAATCTGTGGTGAGGGTCTAGGGTTGGAGGTATTGGTGTGAAATCACGATTTTCAAGAGATAGACAGAAATACAGAAGTAAAGATGGATTCATGTGTGTGTGTGAACATATACACATACATCTCCTTGTTCTGTCCACTGAGAGGGCCTAAAGCAATGACAACCCAACACTGGTGAGCCTACCTAGAACCCAGATCTTGGCATCTAAATACCATTTCAGCCAGGTATAGTGGTATGCACCTGTAGTCCCAGCTATGTGAGAAACTGAGGCAGAAAATTTGCCTGCACCCAGGAAGTAGTTCAAGGCTGCAGTGAGCTATGATTCTGCCTGTGAATAGTCTCTGCACTCCAGTCAGGTCAACATAGTGAGATCTCGTTCCTAAAAAAATTAAAAAACAACAAAAAACCCCATTCTCCATTAAAATCAACTAGGGCTTCTTGAAAAGATGGCTGAGTTTAAAACATAGAAAGCAAAAGGTAAGTCTGAAACATCTAACTGTGTCAGAAAGTAAGGAATGACTCAAATATTGATGAGCATATGTCTTTCCAAAGGACACAGGAGCCAGCTGAAACCTGGGAAGATTTCAACATCAAAATGGGCACCAGTAACAGATTATAATCTGTTGAATAAAAAATGAATCCATAGCCTGGACAAGATAGCAAGACCTTGTCTCTACAAAAAATAATTTAAAAAAAAAGCCAGGCATGGTGGCATAGATCTGTAGTCCTGCCACTTGGGAGGTTGAGGTGGGAGGATCTCTTGCACCCAGGAGGTTGAGGCTGTGGTGAGCTGTAATTGTGCCACTGTACTCCAGCTTGGGTGACAGAGACCCCAACTCAAAAAAAAAAGAAAAAGAAAAAGAAGAATCAATTGGTCCATACTGATATAAAAAAATAAGTGACTAAATAAATAAGTCAGGGGAATAAAAAACTTCTAATTATACCAGAATGCCAGTTAATAAAAATAGAAGGAATACTAGAACTAGAAATTTACCATTTGGCTACCATGGCCAAATATAATTAACTCAGGCAAGAATCATTGTGGATGTTTTAAAAAGTGAGTAAAAGTTTTACAAGAAAGAGAATATTTACACGATCTCAAATAAGCTTATCTATTAATCAGATAAAACACTTATTACAATAAGCTTATCTATTAATCAGAAAAAAACACTTATTACTTGGCTTTAAAGTGGATAAAATAGAAAATGCCACCTTAGTCTACAGATGAATCTACTCATGAGAGAACATCAGGCAAACCTAAAGCGTTGGACATTTTACTAAGTAAGTAACTGGCCTGTATCCTTGAAAAATAATCAAGGTCATAAAAGCTAAGTAAAGATTAAGAAGTATTCCATTTAAAGAAGATGAAAGAGATGGACAACTAAATGCACTGCAGGAGCCTGTACTGGATGCTGGAGTTATAGAGTATATTTTTAGAAACTGGCAAAACCAAAATTTAAAAAAATTGATGAATATCTCAGGAAGGGCAAACATTTGTAAATGATTGTCTGAGGTTGGGAGTTTTTCTCACAATCCTGAAAGATGATTTTGTTGTTTTTTGTTTTTTGTTTTGAGTTGGAGTCTCACTCCGTCGCCCAGACTGGAGTGCAGTGGCCGCTCCCGGCCACCGCAGCCTCGACCTGCCGGACTCCGGCGATCCTTCCGCCTCAGCCTTCCAAGTAGCTGGATACAGGCGCGCGCTACTACGCCCAGCTAATTTTTTGATTTATTGTAGAGATCAGGTCTCGCTGCCCAGGCAGGTCTCGAACCCGTGGGCTCAGGCAATCCACTCACCTCAGCCTCCCAAAGGTGCGGGATTACAGGCTGAGCCACCGAGCCCGGCTCTGAAAGACGATTTTTAAAAATACCCTGGATCTGGCCATCAGTCTCTCTTTCAATCTTTCAGAGAATTAAAATGTTCTAATTTCCTTTGAAAATAGCTACCAAATTATCTCTGCTCCTGGGGTTATGAACAAAGTCAGTAACAAAAAAATCATCTGTAAAAAGATACCGATAACCAATTAATTTGAAGCAGTACTACAAAGTCAGTGCTAACATTTTATTAAAAATAGATCTCTTCTTATTCACAATTACCAAAACTTGGAAGGAACCAAGATATCCTTCAGTAGGTAATAGATAAATAAGATGTGGTATATCCAGATAATGGAATACCATTCAGTGTGCAAAAGGAAATGAGCCAGCAAGCTCTGAAAGACACGGAAACTTAAACGAACATTAAGTCCAAAAACCTAATCTGAAAGGCTACATACAATATGATTCCAAATATATGATACTCAGCTGGGCTCAGTGGCTCAGCCTGTCATCCCGCGCCTTTGGGAGGCTGAGGTGCGTGGATTGCCTGAGCCCGCGGGTTCGAGACCCGCCTGGGCAGCGATACCTCATCTCTACAATAAATTAAAAAGTCAGCCGGGTGTGGTAGTGCATGCCTGTAATTCCAGCTACTTGGAAGGCTGAGGCGGAAGGATTGCCGGAGTCCAGCAGGTCGAGGCTGCGGTGGCTGGGAGCGGCCGCTGCACTCCAGTCTGGGCGACAGAGTGAGACTCCAACTCAAAAAAAAAAAAAACAAATATATGATACTCTGAAAAGGTGAAACTATGGAGACAGTAAAAAGACTAGTGGTTTCCTGGGGCTTGGGGGAGGGAGCGGTGAATAATGGAACACAGAGGACTTTTAGGGCAGTGAAACTATTCTGTGTGACACTATATTGGTGGACACACATCACAACGCATTTGTGCAAATCCGCAAGGTGCTCTACACCAAGAGTGAACCTTTATGCAAACTATGGACTCTGGTGAGTCTGGAGTGTCAGTGTCAGGATGGCTCATCAGTGGCTGCAAACGCACCACTCAGGTGGGGACTGCTGATAATGGGGGGCTGTGTATGTGTAGGGTGCAGGCAGACGGAAAATCTCTGTTCCTTCCTTTGAATTTTGCTGTGGACCTACAACTGCTGTAAAAAAATAAAGCCCATTAAAACATTCTTTTACAGTCTCATGTAACCTGAAAAAGCATTTAAGCATGGATGATATAGAAACCTATAATGCTAGTAATTGGAAAAAATATTACCAATACAATAAAAATTTATCAGAAAAAATATAGATTTCTTTCACACAAATATGCTCCATTGATTTTTTTCTTCAGTCAGAGTCTCACTGTTACCCAGGCTGGAGTGCAGTGCACACTTACGGCTACCGCAGCCTCATCCTGCTGGACTCAGGTCATCTTGCCTCAGCCTTCCCAGTAGCCAGAACCACAGGCATGTGCCACCACGCCCAGGTAATTTTTTGACTTATTGTAGAGACGAGGTCTCACCAAGTTGCCCAGGCTGGTCTCAAACCCCTGGGTTCAGGCAATCCTCTAGCCTCTGCCCTCCCAAAGTGCTGGGATTACAGGCATGAGACACAATGCCTGGACATGCTCCATTAATTTTTGACAAAGGGACAAAAGCAACTTAACAGTCTATCAACAAGTGGTGCTGGAAAGAATGGGGAGGCTGAGGCAAGAGGATCGCTCGAGTCCAGGAGTTTGAGAACAGCCTCGGTAACATGGCGAGACCCCATCTCTACAAAACGTTCAAAAAAAATCAAAATCAAAATGCATCGTGGACTTGAATGTAAAATGTAAAATGATAAATCGTCTAGACATGAACGTAAGAGAATAACTTTGGGACCTGAGACTACCCAAAGAGACTTAAAGTCTTAGCAACAAAACCATGATCCATAAGAAGAAAATCTGGTGAATCTGACTGCACTGAAATAAAAAACTTCTGCTTTGCAAAAAACCCTGTTAAAACAATGAAAATGAGGCAGACATGTTGGTTCATGCTTGTAATTCTAGCAATTTGGGAGGCCAAGGCAGGAGGATTGCTTGAGGCCAGGAGTTCAAGAGCAGCCTGGGCAACATAATGAGATCCCGTTTCAAAAAAAAAAAGAAAGGAAAACAAATAAATTAAATTAAAAAAATGAAAGTACAATTTACACATCCTGAGAAAATATGCAAATCCCATATCTGACAAAGGCTTTGTATTTAGAAAATAGAAAACTCTTTAAAAACTCACAGTAATGCTGGGTGTGGTGGCTCACACCTGTAATCCCAGCACTTTGGGAGGTGGAGGCAAGAGGATTGCCTGAGCCCATGGGTTTGAGACAAGCCTTTGCAACTTGGTGAGACCTCATCTCTACAACAAATTACAAAATTAGTTGGGCATGGTGGTGCACACCTGTAGTTCCAGCTACTTGGAAAGCTAAAGCAGAAGGATCACTTGAATCCAGTAGTTGAGGCTGCAATGGCCACAGCGTGCCACTGCACTTCAGCCTGGGTGACAAAGTGAGACTCCAACTCAAAAAAAAAAAAAAAAAAAAAAAAGCAAAGGATAAAAACTCACAGTAAACGAAGAAGCAATCTAGTTAGAAACGGGCAGAATGCCGGGTGTGGTGGCTCAACCTGTAACCCCAGCACTTTGGGAGGTCGAGGCAAGAGGATTGCCTGAGACCACAGGTTTGAGACCAGCCTGAGCAACATGGTGAAACCTTGTCTCTACATATATCAAAAAATTAGCTGGGTGTGGTAGTGAGCATCTGTGTTTCTGGCTACTTGGAGGGCTAAGGTGGAAGGATCACCAGAGCCTAGCAGGTCGATGCTGGGGTGGCCGTGAGCATGACACTGCACTCCAGCCTGGGCAACAGAGGGAGACTCCAACTCAGAAAAGAAAAAAAAAACGGGCAGAAGACACGAAAAGACATTCCACCAAAGAGGGCATACTATCAGTTCTCTGGAGGCCATCTCCTTCTCTCGTCTACTCCTAGCCAACTGAACAGCAAGCTCCTTTTGGTGGCAGCTCCCGAGAGCTGGCCAAGGCCTCACAGGGCCACGGGCAACTCTTCAGCTGTCGAAGGCTCTCGGGGTCCCCAGAAGTGGCCGAGCTCAATTCTGAGATTCCCACGTCCAATCCATAAATGAGATTTCAGCTATTTTTTCCTTTCTTCCACCTGCCTATGTGTCAGAATAGGCAATAACTTCTAAGAGAGATTATCCTTCAATAAACATGTAACACCTTAGACATTATAACTCTCTCTCTCTCTCTCTCTCTCTCTCTCTCTCTCACTCTCTCACACACACACACATTACCTGTGGTCTTCGATAAATCACCCTTGCATAGAAACTGCAACGAGTACCAAGATCATCAGTCTGAAAGGCATCAAGAAAAATTGGTGCCATTACACAATGCTCAGAGACGCGGCAAAAGTACTTCAAGAACTTGTTAGAAACAGACATTACCAGGAGGATATCTCTTAAGCAGCAGATAACTGGAGGCTGGTAAAGCTTAGAAATGTGGTCTCCTTCAATTACATCAATTTGTCCCAGATTTGAATGAGTTGTGAGGATGTAACAGAAGGCAGGAGGAGGCAGATGAGTTTTTGTCTGTTTAAAATGAAGGCAAAGGTAGACTGTGAGCGTACTGTTAAAAGACTCAAATACACTATTAAAATCTACTCTACTATATACATATTTGCTTATAGATGCATACTCTCTCTGGAATTCTATACAGGGAATGGATTATGCTGTTTACTTCTGGGACCAAGTATAAAAGCTTTCGTACTTTTAAATTTATTACCAGTTCAATATTTCATTTTAGAAAGAGACTTTTCAGCGTATACTGAAAATACCATTTAGAAATCACATCCTCTTACATGATCTAGGGTCACAGACTAAGCAGTCTGCTGAGAAGTCAGCCACTACAAAGCAAGGTGGCCCCAGTTTTCAGCTTTGGCCCAAAGCAGCCACTGGCCAGCCTGCTGGAAAAGGCTCAGGAGGGAGAAGAGGGCACACTTTTCAATCCGTTACGCCACGCGTGAGCCACGACCAGCGCCAATTTGATGAAGCAGGACAGCGTACGCTTTTGGATAGCCTGGTGGTTGTAAGATTCATGAGCTGCAGTTACCCCGGCAGGTGATGGGAAAAGCACTCTGTGTCTGCTTCAGTGTGCGGCTGGGACCCCAATGGTTGCAATGGTGTGTGAGGGTTGTGGGCCCAGCATTCACCATAAAGTAATCTTGACAAAATGTCCTGTAGCACTGCAGGGACAGTAGCTGGAGCTCAGGCTCCAGACGAGCCGAGCGGACCTGGATCCCGAGCAGACACACATTCACAAGTCACCACAGACAAAGGAACTGCCGGCCCAGGGGCTTCTCATTGCCACCAGGGGACGTGCACGGTGTGGGTGGTGGTGTGGGCACCTGGCTGGGCACCTGGCCTGGAGCAGCCTGTGAGCGGGGGAGCTTTGCTCATCCTGCACATACCTCTTCACAGGGCTGGCTGTGGCCCGGTGCTTTCACAGGCATCGCTGGGGGCCATATGGTGTCAATCAAACTGAAAAGCCCCGCTGCCCTGGAACAAGAAGACGCTGTCAAAGGCATGTATTGTCAAACATCCCTACCTGTCGGGGAGCTGGTAGAGAGCTTAACAGACACCGTCCCTAACACCGCAGAGCTACACTTCAAGATTCGCAGTAATTCCGATGGGGAAGACAGAGGGCACAGACCGGCAGACACAGCTGCGAAACCAACTGCACAAGGAGAGGAGCCTGTTCGTTAAATTATGATAATCTGCACAATGAAAGGGCATACAGTCACTGAAATGGTTATACTGCAAACACTTCAGGCAGGAGACATGCTTATGATACCTTGCTAAGTAAAAAGCTGGCAACAAATTATACTCTTTCTAGTATACAACCATACATGCATCTACATATAAGTCAAAGAAGAAGCCTGAAGGATATAAAAATCTTTCTAGTGGTTACCAGAGTATAGCTTGGAAGTGACGGAAACTCTCTTTCTTTGGATTGTGTATTTTGCATATTTCCCCCCAGTGGATATATGCTACTTATATAATAAGAAAACTTATCTAAAATAAAGAAATACAGTGAGACACACAAGGACACACACTGCATGATTCCAATTACACGGTTCTTGCCTTAGATCCAGCTGCACTTCCAAGACCCGGCTCTGACGTCTTCTCGGCAACTTGTTAACAGGGAGGGGGATCTAGATGGGTCTCAGAGTTGAAAGACCCATGTCGTGTTAGTTCTGCCTTTTTACACCGTGAGGGCTTGAGGAAGGCTTGAACTCTGTGTCATCCCTTCTGTAAAACCAGGAGAGATCACTATCTGCTCACTGGTAGCATGGCAAGGGGTGAAGAAACAAAGCAGGTGTGGCATCTTTTAGGGCGTCTATGTTTATAGGAAGTGCCCGACACATGCTAGCCATCTGATGTTGCTTTAATGATCAGTATCGCCATTGCTAAAGCTATAAGTTTCTGTATCGCTTTTTGCTCAAAAATTTGCCCAGTTGAAGACAACATTCTAATCCCAGGACAGAGTGAAATTAAGAGCATGATAAAAAAAATGAATGTAAAAAGATTATCCTCCTTGTGCAGAACAGAAAAATAAACAACCCTTTCCAGATAGTGACAGAGTGATAAATTTTCCTAAATTTTTGGAGTTCCCCAAAAAGGATCCAGAAGAGTCCAACCCATGGAAACAACATTCTGCAGTCAGTCAGTCTTGTGGTGTGTAGCACATCTGTGGTTTGATAGGACACACTCACACATTGGCAGCCGCCTAGGAGAGTGCTATCAAAGATACCTGTAACATTCTGTTAAACCAAATTTCTTCATAATCACGAAACCCTTTTGGGGGTAATCACTAATAAGACCCTGAAGAACTAGTATTCCCTTGGGATTCTCTTTGAGATAATTCTGTGTTTTAGACACACAGTCTTAGAAGAGTTCTATTTATAAATAAATAAAAAACTTTTATTTACTTAGAGGATGCTACTGGCTAATTTTAAAAGTTTGGACAGGGCAGGGTGGCTCATGCCTATAATCTCAAAACTTTAGGAGGCAGAGGCAGAAGGGTCACTTGAGCCCAGGAGTTTGAAGCTAGAGTAAGTTATGATCATACCACTGTATCCAGCCTGAGCAACAGAGCAAGACCCTGTCTCTCTGGGTGTCTGTATGTCGGGGGGCAGTGGGGGGAGGAGTTTGGACAGATTATACATTTATATTTCATGCAGATTCTCAAAGACAAATTCACTGGTCTTTTTTTAAAACTAGGTATGAGTCAGGCTTGGTGGCTCAGCCTGTCATCCCAGGACTTTGGGAGCCCAAGGTGAGTGAACTGCTTGAGCCCGTGGGTTTGAGTCCAGCCCAGGCAACTTGGCGAGACCTTGTCTTTACAATAAATAAATAAAAATTAGCCTGGCATGGTAGCACACAACTGTAGTTCCAGCTACTTGGAAAGCTGAGGTGGAAGGATTGCTGGAGCCCAGCAGGTCGACACTGGCGTGGCAGTGAGCATGCTACTGCACTCTAGCCTGGGTGACAGAGTGAGACTCCAACTCAAAAAAAAAACCACACAGAAAACCAGGTATGGTTCAGATGTTGTTGCTGCCTGTGAACTAGCATCTTTGTCCTGGGCTGCTCGCATATTCATTTAAATGCCTCTTGCCTCTGCTGGGGACAGACTTGGTGCAGACACTAACTTTTGGCATGGGTAAAGCATGTTGTTCTTCCCACTGCAGTTCATTCCTTACCACTCATTTTTGCATATGGTTTTATTTTGTGACAGAGGAAACACATTCTTTTAAAAAATCGATCCCTTTTCAAATCTGTTTAAGCAACGAACAAACTGTCTGACAGGGGAGTGGCTACTTTAAGTTTGCCTTTTCAAAAGTTAACAAAGGTTTTTATTTAAAAAGCTTTATAAAACAAATGTTTAATTAAAATAGAGAAAAAGGAACACACAGATTAAGTCATTGTGCTTATGATCTGGCAACATCATTATGCCAGAATGAACTTCCTGGGGTATACCTTAATTTACAGATTGCGTAAAATGAATCTGCAGAAACATTCAGGTCGTTTCCCTGTGACGACAGGGGTTTGCCAGTTCCTGACGAATGCTCGGCTGCGTCCTCTCTCCACTGGGCCTCGTGCATCTGCACAGTCAGCAGCTCTCGCAGCAGGTCCCCGGGGGGAGCCCAGGTTCCAGAGAGTGTGGGCGAGGGTCGAGTCAGCTGCCACTGCTGAGGGCAAGCCAGCTCGGCCCGGCTCCACCCGACCCGGTAAGCTGCCACCCAAAACCAGCCGCATTTGGGCGCAGCAAGGAGGAAGGGGGGCGGGGGCCGCCGCACAACCCGAGGAGAAGGAAGGGCGCGGCACAGCCCTGGCCGGAACTGGGGCCAGCCGCGAGCCTCGCGCCACGTGGGCGCTCAGGGCAGGCCGGTGGGCTGCGCGGGCTGCGCAGGCGGCGGCTCCGGGCAGCAGGGCCGGGGGGTCGAGGCACGTCCCAGGAGACAGGAGGAGCTTCCAGTGCTACTTTTCTTGACTTGATGGGTTTCATTTTTTCTGAGTCGGAGTCTCGCTCTGTCGCCCAGGCCGGGGTGCCGTGGCACGGCCCGGGCCACCGCAGCCTCCACCTGCTGGGCTCTGGCGACCCTTCCGCCTCAGCCTTCCCAGGAGCCGGAGCTATAGGCGGGTGCCAGCATGCCTGGCTGATTTTCAAAACTTTATTGTAGAGATGTGGTCTCGCCAAGTTGCCCGGGCTGGTCTCGAACCCGCAGGCTCAGGCAATCCACTCACTCTGGCCTGCCAAAGTGTTGGGATTCCAAGCGTGAGCTACCACACCCGGCTTTTTTTGAATTTTCAAAAGGTGTTTATTGATGAATCTATGTTTTTATTTACAGTAACCGATGTACTTTTTAAGGGGAAAGACATCAAGATATATGCACATGTTAAAATTATACTTACCAAACTGTACACATAAAATAATTACAAGGTAAATTTTATATTATATATATTTTATTGTGGAAAAACACAATAAAAACATATTTAACATGAAAAAGAAACACTAAGTGTTTTGACTAGTGACTCTGAGGTTATTGATAGTTCATTAAAACAGTAATACTCCCTTCAGCTTGGGGTGTGATGAGTATCTTAAGTTCTTTACTGGACCATACGAATATAAAAAGTATAAGTTCCATTTTTAAAATTGAAATAATTCACATACCAAAAGATCCATCCATTTAACATGTATAGTGCACTGGTTCTTAATGTGTTCAGAGTTGTGCAACCATCACCATCATCCAATTTCAGAATTTTTTTTATCACCCAGACAAACCCTGTCGCCACCAAGCAGCTCTTCTCACTTCCTCCAGACCTTGGCAACCACTAATTTACCTTTTGTCTTCATGAATTTGCCTATTCTGGATATCTCTTATAAGTGGAATCCTGTAAAACGTGGTCTTTTGTTACGGATTTCCTTCCCTCCACATGATGTTTTTGGGGTTTATCCATGTTGTAGCATGCATCAGTACTTCATTCCTTTTTATGGCTGAATAACATCCCACAGTGTAGAAACAAAGGATATTTCACATATCCATCCATACATCGACAGACATATGGGTTGTTTCTCAGCTGTTACAAAAACTGATGCTCTGGATAACTATGTACAGGGTTTTGTATGAACATAAATTTTCCCTGGATAAATGCCCAGGAGGGCAATGGCTGGATCTTGGGCAAGTATATGTTTGGTTTTTTTAAGAAACCACCAAACTATTTTCTAGATAGCAGCACCATTTTACACTTCCACCAGCAACGTATGAGAGATTCAGTTCCTTTGCATCCTTACTAGTATTTGTTGTTATTTTCCATTGATCCAACAGGAGTGTAGAAGTATCTCAGTGCAGTCTTGATTTGTTTCTTCCTAAGGACTGGTGATGCCAAATGTCTTTTCATTTGTTCACGTGACGTCACCTGCATCCTCATTGGGAAGTGTCTCTTCATGTCCTTTGCCCGTTTTCTAACCGAACTCCCTGTGTATGTGCATGCTTGTTAAAAATTTTAGATTGTGATAATTTATCAATTTTTCCTTCTATGAATTGTGCTGTTGGTGTCAGGTCTAAGAACTATTCACCCAGTCTTAAGTCCCAAAGGTTTTTTTCCTAAAAGTTTTAGAATTTTATATTTAAACCTCAGCTCCATTTTGAGCTAATTTTTTTTTTTGAGTTGGAGTCTCACTCCATCACCCAGGCTGGAGTGGCATGCTCACGGCCACCCCAGTATCGACCTGCTGGGCTCTGGCGTTCCTTCGGCCTCAGCCTTTCAAGTAGCTGGAACTATAGGCACGTGCTACCACACCTGGCTACTTTTTTAAAAATTTCTTGTAGAGATGAGGTCTCGCCAAGTTGCCCGGGCTGGTCTAGAACCCGTGGGGGGCTCAGGCAATCCACTTCCCTCTGCCTCCCAAAGTGCTGAGATTACAGGCTGAGCCACCGAGCCCGACCTGAGCTAATTTTTTAAGGTGTGAAATGTAGGTTGAGATTCATTTTGTG